TGAAAATGGGCATTGAAAACAAAACAATTGGAATCTACAAAATATGGAAGCATCTGGTGGCTGAGTCTAAACATGGAGAAAAGCTGAACAACGAGCTAGGAATGGATAGCTGGGACTGGCTGAGAAAGGAAAGTACAGAGCATAGGTGGATGGGAAAACATGGAAGAGGGAATGCCTAAAGAAGAAATCTAGAATTATGTTTCTAAAAGCAGACACTCAGAACTCAGAAAATTAGTTAGTTAAAAGAATCCAAATTGATTTGTGTATGCAAATGCCCAACTTATCACCCAAACATTATTCGCTTTGCATAAGGCAGAGGAATCGAACCATTCTACACAAAGGCATTAGTGGTCAAAGGTCTTCTCATACCAAGAGCATTGCTGCTCTACTGCTGGGGAGTTAAAACAGAAGCTCAGAGGGAGCCCTTAAAGCACAGAATCTGCATTCCTTCCTACCACAAAGCCGCTTCCCCAATCCTTTGCATAACCTTGGTCTCCCCAGCACCTCCTCCCACCCTTCTCTCTCCTCCACCACCTCCTGCTAAACCTTATCTGCTCTACCACATCCTCATTCTCCTTCTGTCCATAGACTGCTGTGCTCATTCTCACGTACTGCTTTGGCTCCCCAGTAGTAAAATCTAACAGTGCGAGGAACTAAAGACATGAAGAAGGAGGATGTGGCTGTATGAGTGGAGAGAATGGAAAGAAACACAGAACGGAAAGAAAGTTGTCCTGAGAAAGCTGATCTAATTGGCCTGCTTTGAGTAGGGGGTTGGATGAGGTGACCTCCAGAGATCCTTTCCAACCTAAGTTGCTCTGTGATCCTGTGTGCTGCTGTGAGGTGTTGGGCTTAAGGCAGACAGGGATGAGTTATGAGTGAGAAAATGACGAAGATTGTCTGCCAGCTACTGATGTTTTCATGTTCTTTGGAAGATGTCACATTCCCCAGCTCTTGGAATAGGACTCTGATCATTTGGGTTGTATACAGACCTCTCTAACACTTAGCTGAGCCAATTGAGTTGCAATGTGCAAATTTGTTAGAGAGGAAAGGTGAAACCTGGTGAAGTTTTAGCTATTGTTGCAGTTGCTTCAAAGAGCAAAGCTGTTTGCTGCTTGAATACAGTATATTAGTGGGTTCGTTACAGTAGATTTGTCTATTACAAGCATTAAATTTTTAATGCTTTAGGTTTAAGGGGTATGCAAAATTATGTAAATCTGACTTCAGTATTGATTAGAACAAGGAAAGGTAGTAAGACAGCAAGTTAGCACACAAAGTAAATTAGCAATAAATGCAAATTCTTAGAATTGGTACTCACAGTCTGTGTTATATAATAGTCTTTTCTATCAGCAGTCTGCAACTTTTAAATACACAAGTGTGATTTCCACAAGCAATGCTTGTTGTATTGTCATCAATGATAAACTCTGCTATGAATTTACAATGTGCAGTTACAGTTCAAGCAAAATCTAGAGCAAGAGTACAGGCTGAATTGACCTGTCATGACATATGTACTAGCCATGAAGTTTGCACTATACTTTGAATCAAGCTTGATGATCATGGAGTGGACTTTTTTTGTGCAGACATTCGAATGAGGAATAAAAAAAAAAAAAAAAAAAAGAAAGAAGAAAAGGAGGTGAAATGATACAAATAGAAAAAGTAAACTGCTGCAGAAGGTTCACTGAGGAGAAAAACCTGGCAAAGTAAAGAGTGTAAGTCCTGTTGTGATCACAAGAGAAGACAAATAGAGATTTTAAGACTCTGTCAGTGTATGGATCTTGAAATGAGGGTATGGAGATAAAATTTCATGAAGGAGGTGACAAAAAACAGTGAATATATTAGGATATGTACATATGTGTTTTTCAGGAAGTTTGGAGGACCGATAAATGTGACCTACCAGGCAAACCCAAATAATAGCACCTTTAACTGCAGTTCTATCTGATGTAGGGGAGTTGCAGCTCAGTTCTAGAAATGTCAAAAACTCTCTTTGAGTGGAATTAAAAATATATATGCTATCACTGTAAATAATTGCAAGAAGATTATCCCTCAGTATAGTCAGTGCGGTTTTTCTGCCTTCTGTGCCTCTGATGTATGGCAAGAAGGGGTCGAAAACACTGTAGGATCAGTTCAGTATTTTGGATTTATCTAGGCAATAGTTTTCTGAATAATCTTTCCTCAAGAATTTATTAGGAACCACTCAGCAGCCAATAAAGGCGGTTGGTTTTTTTTTTAAGCGAGCTGCAAAGGACATCTATAAATTGAATATCCAGCTGTAGTATGAATACTTGCTTTGAAAGAGGATTGATGATCTCTAACAGCAGTGGGCTGAAAAATGTTCCAATGAACTTGTGCTAATCATGGGTCATCTCTCCAGATAATGACCTAACTGACCTTTTTCCAGCACATCTGCCTGCCTAGTACTCGGCCACCTTCAGAGAAAGGGGAGTGCTTGCTCCACTGTAATCTTCCAGAATCTGTGATTTTGCCACATTAATTTCAGTATTTTTCTTTAAAGCAGCTGAAGAGCTTCTACTTGCACACGCAGCTGAATGGTGTAAATTCAGCTTGATTAGACAGTCTACTGTCCCGACCCGTTGGATTGGGTGGGATACAAATGGTGCTCTGGCAGAGAAGCATCGTCATTTGTTCTCCTTCACAGCTGCAACACATGGTCGTTCAGGCTCTTTATACCACAGATGAAAAACCTAACCAAAACCAGATGGACAGTGAATATTTTTAGAAACAGTATTTCAAAGCATTAACAACCGGAAGAGAAAAAGTTTTCAAGTCTGGAGATTAAAAAACTTTTTAACCTGCTTGTTAAAGTATATTCAAGAGGATTTAAAAAAATGTTTTAATTATAAATAATACTGTCCATGAGATAATTTTCTCAGATTATTCCACTTCCATTTCCATGTTACCTGTGGTCCAAACCAGTGTAAAATGCAAATTCTTTAATTCAAGTAGAAGTAGTTGCTCCAAATTAATATTTTGCAGTAATACAGAGTGCTCAAATAGCTCATTTAAAGGTTCTTCTTGTTTCTGTTTGAATGATTATTCTTCCTCCAGCATCTAATTGCTTTTCTTGCAGGACTTGCAGGAAAATGGAAAACTAGGTCTTGTATATCTTAGAAAGCTTTTTGAGAAGCTTGAAATGGCTTTTGTGATATCCTAAGCCTCTCCACAATTAACTCACCAATTGGCTCTTTTTGGTTATCATAGTTTTCCTGCAAGAGGAAATGATCCTTCTCCTCCAAACTGTAGTGTCAGAGAAGCATCAGTTCTGCTTTTCAAGCTGTGTTTGTGATAAGGATATTTTTATGGTGTGAGGAATTATTACTCTAGTTTTGCCGAATATGAAGTCTGCAAGTCTGCTGAGTGCAAATGTCTTACATCACTTTCTAATTCCAAGTTAGTGGTGAAGAGTCATCCTCAGAATCTTGCAGAAATGTCTTGAGTTTCTAGCTCAGCACTGAAGAAACCTTGATGATGTCAGTATTGAGTGTTGTCCTAGTCTTCTGAAAGCTGCCTTCAGCTTCCAGCCTCAAATCATAATATGGATGCAGATGAAGTTTACACAAGTCTAATTTAGTGAGTATTACACTATGTCCTATAGGAAGTAAATCCTTCCAGTACAATTTTAGAAACAAAATGTCTTCTTAATTTGTTTTAGGACTTTGACTTATCCTAACCCTAACTGAATAAAAAATCTTTGACTAGAAGAGTATACATGATCCTCAAAAAACAGCAACTAAAAGTTGGAGTGCAAGGTTTTTTTATAAGTGTGAAATATCATTTCTGTTTATTATTCTTGTCTTGGATAGAGAAAGTCCTGAAGTCCTTACTTGCCTTTAACTCTCAGTTAATTTCTGGCATTGATTGACATTTTTTAGCCTGTTCATGGACTGGGAGAAAAATTGGGAGGAAGTATGTTGTGATGTTTTTTAAGCAGGAGCTTCTTTCTGTTTGGCTCCAAGGAGATACTGTAGCCCAATGATGTCACCAGAATTTTCACTTCCACAGTGAAATTGTTAGTGTAGATAACCCTGACTATCTTTAGATATAATTTTGAGAACTCAGATCTGTAAGAAGCTCATCACTTTCAGCTATTTCTGGTTTCAGTGAGGAGCAAGCACTGAAAAATTTCAAGTTAATTAGTTATGTTACTTAGGTATGAGTTCCAAAGTGTCATATTTGGCATGCTGCAGTGTATTTCAACACTTTTAAACAAAACCTTTCTCTTTATTCTAGATCTGCCTCATTTCACCTCATCTGTTTTGGAAGAGTCCTGATGATGTTTCTTGATTTCTGGGTGCTTGAACACAGCTGAGACGTGTTAAATAATGTTAAAACTTAAGACGCTAGTGTTCATTTCAAAGTCTTTTCAAAGACTTTGGGTTTCATTTCTGTGTTTTGATATACTGGGTAAATTCACCATGGTATCTCAGGTGTTGAATTATTTTTATTTTGCATTTTGAGTGTAATCTATACAATGCAGTTGTTATTAGTTACTATTAATTGTTTTACAGTAGGGACTAAAACCCATGGTTAAAATCTTGAAAACCTTTTGTACTAGAATTCTGAAAGACATGATTAAATACAGGTTATTTCAAGAAAGGCCCATAACCTAAAATCAAGATATCACTGTGGAGGAAAGAAAGTAGAACGAACAGAAACAGGAAAATAAGTGAAACCACAGAAGAACATGGTTAATTGTTATGTTCTAAACTGGACAGAGATATAAATACCATTCTTGGTATACACGAATAGAACTTATTCAACCAGTAGGGTTTTGTTTGCACGCGCACACACACACACGCACACGTATTTTTTCATTTACTTCACTACTATAGTCTCTTTCACTCATTCATCTCACCTATTACATTTGTTACCGAGTTTGACAGCATTGTTGATACTTCTAGGAGAATGAAAAGTAGTGACAAATGGATAAGTTCCTATAATCACACAGGAGCCATAGCTGCATAACTGAGCATGTGAGATTTGCCTGTGAAGTAATCATTTATTATGCAAACACCAGAACTTCATTATATCCAATTTTATTAAATATGTACATGTTATCACTATTTAAGAGAATGATTATCATTCCAAGATCTGCAGACTTCTCTCTAGCTTTGAGAGCTGCGGCAGAGCCTGTATTAATGCTAGTTTGAAAGCTGGAAGCTAATGCAGTGTCACCAAGTGACACAGCTTCACCTTTGGATGCAAAACTTCATTGGCTGTATTCTTTAGTTGCAATACAATCAAAAAAATCTTTCCTGACAATAATATATTTGTACATTGTTTAAATTTCCCAACTCTGTCCAACTTGTAGGATGGAAGCAAAGAATTCTGTCATGTTTAGGATTCTCAGATGCCGAAGAAGGGAATTCGTACCAGAAACATCTGATGGTAAAGGCTGCTTAAGGGCAGAGAAGGGGGCACAGGAAGCAAACAGAAAGATGTGTCCATCTCCTCTGCTGGAATCCAGCCAGGAGGTCTTATTATTTTTCTTGCTTAGGGTCCCATGGCCTCAGTGAGGATAATGCTTCCTATCAGTGACCCCCCTTCCCATCACCTCTCCACTAAACTGGTAGGTCAGCTTTTTCTTGACTTTCTTGACCTCCCCTGTCTTGCCATAGTTTCTCAAAGCCCGTGCCATCTTCTGGTAGGTCATTTTCTTGCGATTGCCCTTCTGGATGCCCCAGCGATGCGCCAATGCTTCTTTGTGTTTGGAGGAGAACTGGAAAGTACCTTTTTCCTTGTCCACCCACCAGATGCTGTCCTTCATGTCCCCACTGCGAAGAAGATCCAGAAGGAACTGATACAGACGTATCTTTTTCTTGCTGCCTGTGTGAGAGTCAAAGAAGAAAGGCAATGGAGAATTAGTATTTGTGTGTAGCTCCTGGAGAAACAGCATAATGTATGTAACTGTTTCAACTAGCTTGTCAGTCACATAACTTCTTCAGTTTGCAGCATTTATTACAATAGACAGTGTAACACTGTGAGGACATAATGTGGATTGATGTACCAAGATGAAAAAAGAAGAATAAGTAATTCCAAAGGCCAAAACATTGTTCTGAAATTAATTTGCTAATATGAAGCTAATTGAAAAGCACTGACAATTTAAAACTAATCTAAGCCTAAATTGAGGCACTGGAGCAAGTCCAGCAAACGGTAACAAGGCTCATAAAATGTCTGGAAAACATATTGTATGAGAAACAGTTGAGGGAGTTGGATTTGTTTAGCCTTGAGAAGAGGCTCAGAGGTGACCTCAGGGCTCTTTTCAAATCCCTGACGGGGTTAGAGAGAGGTGGGGGATGTGTGTCCTGCCAGGGCTGCAGGGAGAGGACTAGAGGGAATGGCCTTGAGCTGAGCCAGGGCAGAGTCAGAGGAGATGTTAGAAGAAATGTTTTCCCTGTGAGGGTGTTCAGGTACTGGAATATTGCCCAGGGAGGTGGTGGAGTCACCATCCCTGGAGGTGTTTAAGAGGCATCTGGATCCGGTGCTGGAGGATCTGGGTTAGGGTTTAGGGGGTCACAGCAGTGACAGGTTAATGGTTGGACTCTATGATGTGAGAGGTCTCCTCCAACCTTGAGGATTCTATGCTAAACCTATTTTTGGCAGGTTATACAGAACATGATTCTCAGGTACTGAGTAAAGAGAGCTAAACATTTTTTAAAATCAATTCTTCCTTGACCTTCTTGCCTTGGTTTTCCCAGCTGCTAATGAAAATTGGAGTCGAAATGGCAAAAAACATTTCTATTCAGGAAGCAAATTTCTATTCAGGCAAAGCAGAAGGAGGGAGTGGGAGTACAAGAAGAAGTGAGATTTGAGATATAAACACAGTCACAGTTGTAAAAGATTTGGACAACAAGAGTGTACAAGGAATCAGGGAAAGGAAGGGTTTGGCAGTGTGGTAAAATACTAGCACAGCAGTTCTACAGTTTTATTCATTATCATCATGGTAACACAACACCTGCTTGACACATAGCTTGACAGAGTCCCTCTATTTTCACTGACCTGTTTCTCCATGCATAATTCCAGGCCCAGGGTCCACACCATCATTCTCCCCATCTGACACCTCCAGTGGAGGGCTCTGCCTCTCTATGTCCTCCTCATCAGAACTGGGCTGAGGTGGAGAGGAGTACTGTAGGCACATCCGGGGCAAATAGGACACCTTTTAGAGAAAAGAGTAGTAGAGGGAGGAGGCAATGATAGACAGTGAGGCATCAAGATTAAAAAAGGAATTGTAATGAAGACAATTACAGAGAAAAGGGGGAAGAAGCTAAGAGGTATGTAAGACTGTTTAGTGTAATAGAAGTGACTTAGTTGTTGACATTTGTAATAAACACGGTCCAATTAAGAAACACTTTCTGATAACAGTCAACACTCACACGTACAATGATGCACACTTACAACAGAAAAGAAAGAATAAGATTGCAAAAGTCAGAACTTTCATACATGTTACATGTTATTCGAGGAATATTGCCCCTTTTCACCACACCTCCCCAGAGCTTGCATTCTTCCCAATGAGTTTCTGATCCCCGTTACCTATCCCCACTGTAAAACTGCTTTTGAGAACAGCTTTTTTTCTAACACAGACCTTCTGGAACCACTCTTTTCACTTTGAAAGAGATGAACAGTTCTGCCTTAACATGCTGTCTTTGGCTCTGTTATCCTCTTCCTTTCTCAGGCATAGTACCTTCTGACAGCACCACATCCCTACAGGACTGCATCCAGATCTGCAGAGGGGGTTACACCAGTCATCCAGCTTTCTGTCTTGAATTTCCCCCATGAGGAGGAGAATATCCTTAACACTAAGATGAAGGATACATCATATTAGCTCACATTCTCTTTTCCTGAGTGGCTATCTGAAAATTCCCCGTTAGTGGGGATTGCTCAGCTGCAAAGCTAGCAAGCCAGTCTGTGTGTTAATTCTCTTGCCCTTGTTGTCAGGAGCAGTGCAGAACATACCTCAGCTCTGTAAATTCTCAGTTGTGGTCTGGTTTCCAGAGACCATGACCAACAGCCACAAATGATTGCTGTTTCTTATTTAACAGTGAGAAACAGATCAGTCTGGGGGGCAGGGAGTAAGAACTCAATTCCTGTGTTCAAGAAAACCAACCAACATGCCACAAATCCAGCAGCATATAGAATTTAGTTTTAGGGACATATAATAGTCCTTGGTGAGCTCCTTTTGAACTGCTCTTCTGTTCCTTTACCAAGAAAGGATGTCTTGAGCCTGATGCCCTTCTCAGAGGGCCTTAGGCACTGCAGAGTGGGTGTTCCTGAGTCACACCACACCCTCATGGGCTTTGCTGAGTGGTGCTTTTCGGATGGGTTTTGCCCCAGCTTAAAATGTCCCAATAAGGCATGTGCAAAGGACTGTTTTTTGGGTGCAGCAGCTGGCAGTTAATGAGTTGGCAGATTGGCTGGAGCTGATCAGGCAGGAAGGGCAGGATTGGGCAAGAGTGTGTGTAAGCTTCCTGTCAGATCCTCAAGAGGGAAACTTCAGCCCTCATCACAGCCACCTTTGACTTTTTACAGTTAAGAAAGCTATAGCCTCAGGGGTAGGAAGGAAGGGAGAGACACTGCAGTGGGGGAAGGGGAGTGAGAAGGTGGGACAGTGTCTTACAGGGGAGGAGAACAGAGACTGGTGTCTCCACAGAGAAAAAGGTTGTGGAAACCTGGAGTGTTTGGGGAGGTGGTGTAGGAGGAGGGAACTGGTCCTCTGAGGCTGAAGTGGGATGAGGGGAGAATGCTGTGGAGGAGAGAGGGGACATGATGTCTCACAAGCAAAGGCAGCTTCAGAGTCCAGCCTGGGGAGCTGAGTAACCTTTCCCCATGAGGTCCTCACTTTCCCTGACTGCTGTATTTTTGCTTACAGTTACTTTGTCCTGAAACTCAGCACAGACCAGTACATAAAGTGTCAGACAGTTCTATTGCACAAAGTTAGAGAGGACCTTTCAGTGTGTTAGAAAAACCCAGGTTACTAATACAGTTTTGGAGAGAGAAGACTTGAGAAACTACTAGCTACTTTCCATATTCTGATGTTGTCTCAGTATCTGTGGCACCCATGTGTGATATTCCTCTTTCTAAAGTTATTCTCACAGTTTTCCAACCTTTTCTTTCATTCTCCCTTCAGAATAAATATTCTTTTACTATTTTTGAGACACCTATTGTCAGGCTAACAAAACTTTTGAAAGAAATCTTGTCCAAGAACAGCTTAAGCCTCAAATTTGATTTCGGAAAACAAGGTGATATCAACAGAAAATTAAAGAAATATACTTGTGTATTCTTTCTTTATTGCAAAGTGTAACTCTAATATTGCACGGCAAGCATGGGTGCAGTCAGTAACAGGCAAATTCAGCAGAGGATTAAAACTTGCTTCCTGCTTTTTTGCCTGGGACTGTGGCTGAGACACACCAGAGGCTGATCCTCGGAGCATGCCAAGTACTATTTGCATGAGCTAATGTAGGAAAAAAAAAGTAAAGTGAAAAGCCAAAGATCCCCAGCTGGTCCAGAAAATGAGGGTAGTGGTGAATTCTACCTCCTATCATCTTCTGCAGCTGGGTACGGGGTGGGGCAGAGAGAGCACAGTGCTCTTTATCAGAAGTTGAAACAAAGTTAGTTCCCAGCCTTTCCTCCTGAAATGAAAGATGATAGCTGAGTAGAATGAAGTGGGATAAGTGGAAGAACCCACTCTTGTTCTTTAGTTGTGCTTCCAAAGACATCCATAAAGGGTCTCATTTTTATCCCTTGCCCTCGGCTGGAGGTAATGGTTGGTCATTAGGTGTTAGCAGTTGCAGTGAGCAACTGAAACAACTTGCAGCTTCCCACAGACTTCTGTTCCATGAAGCATTTTTTTTTATTTGTAACTTTCTGTTCCTAATTCTTTGTTTGTATCTACATCTTATATTCTATTCCTGATTTTTTGATGGCTTGCAATCAGTTTCCTGTTGACAGTATTAACTTACTCCACTTGTTCTCTTCTTTCTTTTTTGACTAATACAGTATTTATGTACAACTTCAATTTGCTTTGAACAAAGAAACCCAGAATTACAGCTCCATGCATGCAGTTTCTCTCACAGTTTCAGCAAGGATGCTATTATAGGCAGCACTGTAATCAGCAAACACTTTTTTCTAACTTCAGTTCTATTCTGTCTTGCATTCAGGATGTTGTATGTACCTTGTCAGCCTTGGGAAAGTCTTCAGCACAAGATCACCCAGCTTTCTTACTGGTCCCAGTAATGGCTTTGGACATGTTCTTGTAGAATCAAGAGTTAAAAGTGATCTCCACACCCTCTTCACTTATTACCTCTGCAGTACGTTGGAGCCCGTTAGAATTTCAGTTCAGTGAGCATTCACTCTCACTTTGGTGACTATCTTTACTGAATAGAGGAGTATCTTTTTTTGCAGGGAAATGACTGGTTTCATGCAAAATCTGAGCAAGGACAAGACAGTGTGTTTTGCCTTGTGCCTTATTTTCTGCCACATAGAAGCACAAGTAGGTTCTTCTTAGCCTGTGGTAAAATTACCAGTGCTTTGCCTTTTTTAGCAATTCTTGTACAAGTCATGTAAAATTGTCAGGGTTGCCTGGAAATATTTAAAACTTTCCTACTACTTCAAAGCTCAGAATACTTCTCAGTAGTCATGGATACCCTTGCTATGATGATGAAAAGCTTCTCAGGTCCAGTTCATCTGCAGAATTACAAACCAGCTGATATTCATTCCAAAGTAAACAAAAATTTGAAATTCCAAACACCTCTACAAAATGCAGTTATCTTTTTAGACAGTTCGAGGAACATGACTCCTCATTATTCAGGTAAAAACAATGCTTAGACCACATCTGTCCTGAGAATGAAGAGTTTTATATCAAGTGCAGTAAGAATTTGTGTTTTTCACTTCAACAGTCTCTTTCACATGAGTGTGCATTCCCTGATGCATTATTTTCCTTACCATTAACTATCAACCGAAATTCTGAGCAAGGGCTGGTAACCATACCTGATGGTTGAGTCCGATGTGTGTGGTTGGCATTGCAGAATCCAAGACATGCATTTGTTCAATCTCCATGTGCCTGTACAGCTGCTGCAGCTGGGGAGGCTGCACACTCTGCAGTTCTGTGAAGTGGTTGTCTCCAAAGGTCTCAAACTCACTGTGCATGTGGTGGGGATGATATTCCCAGTAATGATCTAAAGGAAGTAAATACAGCTTGTCTGTCATTACAAGACTAAGAAATGTGGCATTCAGCTGGCTCTCCTTGATTCATACTGCTGTCACTGCCCTTCTACCCTCTCCACACCATCCCTGTTGACCTGTCTGTCTTCAGTGACAATCTGCATGGATTGCTGTAAAGTTTCTTTCCTAATCTCTTAAATTCCTGTGGCTGAAAAGTAATACATAGGCCACTGAATCAGGACAATATTCTTAGAATGGTGAGATGGATTTCAATGATAATTTGGCACAAGATGCAAGAGACATTAATGTTGGCACCTTTCTCAAGAAGAGACTGTAACAAGTTTCAAAATATTTTCATTCTTGAGGCAGCAAATTCTACTGATTTATATTCTAGAAGAAATGTGGAGCATTGCAAATTCTATTTTTCTCTTACATGTAGCTGAATACATAATTATGCACATATTTATGTGCAGCCTGTTTTTAAAATCAATATCAACATCATAGCCTCCTTCTGACCAAGCTAGGAACAAATTTCCATACTTTCACCTTTTGTGCATCATTTCATGCCTGGTCAAAATTTATTTTTGATAGTCAGTGTGACAGTGCTAATTTTTATCTTACTATCCCATGTTTCCTTCCCTCGTATTTTTATAAATAATTTCTGGCCTACCCTTCACTTGTTTCCAGGTTGCTGTCACGTAGCCTTGCAATCTGCTTCTAACTAACACGTAACTCAGCTGCATGTCTTCGGGTCTCAGTCTTTCAATACAGATCAGTATAGTCACCCTGCTCATACCTGTGCATTTCTCCAAGCTCCCTCCCAGATGTTGACATCCTTGTGACATTGCTCTAAGTGTAGTTGTACTGAATTTACAGAGGAGCAGTTACCTCATTCTGCAATATGATGTTGTGTATGACAATTATTATCTGGACATTAATGTGCTATGAATATTTTTTCTGAAATACCGGTTTCATTCCTTCTCTAAGTGTCTCTCTCCTCATTCTTCCCCGCTCACGTTTCAAACAGTTAAGTCTAATCTGATTGAAGACTTGAAATCCAGAAGAGTGACTTTGAATGTGGCTTCCTTTAGAAGGAACTCAGTGGTATATTTATACCAAACACAGTGGTACCTGAGAAGTTGTAAGCTCTTTTAGCTGCCTTAATGCTCAGGTCTGTAGACATTTATTTGTAGGTTCTATTAGATTATTTACAACACCAGCACTTACTTTTTTGTCCTTCTTGCTTTTCTGATTCATGGATAAACCATGTCATTGCATGCAAAAGAATGCAAAGGTGCTTACAAAAACACTCAGGGACCTGCTGCATTACTTAGTAATTTCTTCGCTTTGTCATATGATGCTTTCTCTGGGCTACGTAGGGATTTTATAGCCCTAAGATAATAGAATGCACTGTAACACTTTTCATGTTGTAGTGCTAGAGAAAAAATTTGGTTTCTCTGGTAAAAATGTGGGGTTTATGGGTGCAAAGTACCCAGGTATTTTTACATCCACAGCTGCTCCAACCTAGGAAATGGCAGTGTGTGAATTTGAGTCCGTGGATTGTCTAAGGCTGTGTTCTGGTAGTAGGCTTTGGGCACTTTCAGTCTGAAACTTTTCCCTTTAGCTGGAATACTGAGCCACACTAACTTGTGTTTTTTCTGGCTTCAGTTGCTGCAGACGTTCAGGCCCCATACACATGGGCAGCCCTGCTTATGAAATGGCTGAGAATACATTGCAGGAGTAATCTACACTCTGGTTCCTCAGAATGATCTGGGTCTGCTTGTTGTGTGAAAATCCTCTGTTAGGGGCAATGTATATTCCCAAAGACCTTTTGCCAGTGATAGTGTACAACAACAACGGAGATTAATGCATAATTGTGAGGAGGACAACGCTCAGAAAAAGTCTTAGGCTGCCAAGGACCATCTTCAGCTGTGGAATGTCTTACTAGTGGCAGCTATGGTTGTCAAGAGAGAACACGGAACATTTCCAACATGCACAGTCATGCGTATTTGTGCATGCTCCAACTGGACTACGTTTGAGTCTTCTTCAGTATTTTTTATCAGCAGTCACGTTTTTATACTTTAAGATACCTCTTAGCTTTTTTGAGCCTATGACAAGGTTACTGATGCTCCAGAACTGCTTGAACTTTTCTCTTGGCAAACAAATTAACCTGTGGAACACTATTTATGCATATTCCTGTTAATCACTATGTAATATTTAGCCTATTCATTACTAAATTCCTTCTTGATGGAATTAAGTGCTGCTGTAAAAATACAGAACTAGAATAGTATTACTAGCACAGCATTCAGGACTTAAAATGATCACACAATGGTATTACATTATAAAATAAATGTGTCAGAAATTAGTTCAATACAAACTTGTGTCCAAATATTCAAGTTGTGACAGATGGAAAAGTCCTTACTTCTTTCTAAATTATCTATAATTTCTCAGTGATGCTTAGGAAGAAGAATATTGGTTTATAACATTAAAAGAAATCTGATTTTGTCTGCACAAGCCTCTCTGCAGTTAACCATCCGTCTGTTACTGCACATGAAAGCACAAAAATATCTATCTAAATATCTGTGTTGGCAGATATTAGAGTTACCAGCGACTATTTACTTCTATCCTCTTTGTCAATAATGCATAGCAATTCTGCTCTTTTCTCTAAAACATGAAGATGGAAGGAAGAAAAGAGGAGAGAAAAATTCTAGAAATGGAAAGTTTGTATTCTTTGGGTAAAGAAAAGTGTCAGTAAAAGCCAAGCTACAGGTACACAATGGAGTCATTATGAGAAATTTCATGTGAAGTGAAAGAGGATGTGAAAAAAATTGTCTCTTATAGAGTCATGGAGATCATGTTTGTTTTGGTCTTGTATGTAGTGAAAGGTTAGAGGAAGGACAATTATGAATTCTGAATTCCCTCCCATGACAGAGAGGATGTTGGGCTGTTGGGAAGCAGCAGCAGACCTAAAGGCATTGTGTTCATATTCACCATAGAGGTAGATTCTCACTCCACAAGTGAGAAAACACAACTGAAGTTGCTCAGTCATCTTCTGATCACTGTAAATTGCTTTGCTCCTCTTTCAATAGATGAATAACGTCAGAAATAGGCTTAAGGAGGGCATTTAAAACACAAGTGGACAAACAGGCTAAATCTGCATTATGCAGAACAAAACTAGGCAGAAATTGATGAGCCAGCTCTGGAACCGGAACCGTGACAGCTCTGCCAGCGCAGCGCTCGGCCCTGGCTGGGGAGGTGGCTGCTTGCGTGGCTGGACTTGCGAAGTCTGGGCTAGTGTCTGAGGGGTTCTGCTCTGGGCTGTACAGGTGTCCCAACTCATGTTGAACTAGAAAGGGTTTCTCACACAGTGCCACATTGCATAGCTTACATATTCCCGCTGTGTTCTGCATATCTGAAAAAACAAGTCAAGAAAAAACCCATAGAGGAATTGAGAAAATATTGAAGGACACTGGAAAATTAATGTCTCGATTCCCTACAGAATCACTCTGGAAAGAAATGCCGTGCTCCTAGGCAGGGTCTCAGTCTTATCTATAATAACATTAGGATGTCACTAGCTCTCACTTTACAAACTACATGGTTTAAATAATGCCAGATGTTAAATAGCCTGAGACAGGCCCCAGCAAAGCATGAGAATGGCTTTGAAGGGAGAGGACTTTTTAATGAAGTTTGGGATTCTTTCTCATTTTCATATAGCATCAAAGACTAAGATTCACGTTTGGACTTTCCTCCACTTCTCTGTGGGCTAGGATCCTAACAAAAAAAATCTGAGACTCTTAAATTATCATATTACTCCAGGCAGTGGGATGAAAATACCATCCCAGGTGATGAAAACTAGTAAGTTCCATGAGGCTATCAGCAAAGTCAGCTTCATATAAAAAGTGATTTTTACTAAACCAGTAATGTTTAGTAATAACTTAGAGACAAAGCTGCAGTGGAATGTTGTAATTGCTAAGATTGCATTAGCATTACAAAACATGCTGAGTTACATTTACAGACTTTAGCTCAGGGTGGGGTGATGGACTAATACATGATCACCAGAGGTAGCTTCTGTCCTGCATGAGTGTGCCTCTGTCTTTATTGCAGCATTTAAAAATAGTTAAACTGCAGTATACAAAATATTTGCACACAACGCATGCAGTGATGAGTGTGTTATGGTGTGGTTTTGCTTGTTAAACTTAGTGTTCACTTATTGGCAATGAGCTCCTACAAATCAAATTAGGGGCACACTATTTTGTGTTCTTTGCTGCCTACCCTAAGGAGCAAGGGTTGCCTTCAGCACTGTGTTCAAGAAAAGTGGCTGCGATGCATGCGGCACAGATCTGCGGATCAGTATGTTGCTATATCCCTTTCGCAGAATAATTTGCTAGCAGTGAGAGAAAGATAGTCTGACACTTGAGGGAAGCTTTCTATTGTGTTAGCAGTTCTGTGTCAGCAAAATCAGAAGTATTATTATGTCTAGTAGTATCTATTTGCATTGACTGCCAGTTTTACTTTGAGGTCCGTACTGGTACTGAATAGACCTGCAAAAGTATTTTTTACATAGTCCCAGGGTTCTCACTGTACCCCAAGCTGAAGTCCTCTCTCACAATTCTGTTCTTATTTCTTTTTATTTCCCACCTAATCAGGTTCTTGCCTCTTTCACTTCTCTGCTGTCACTGCAGCACCTTATTTATTCCTTTTCCCCTCCATTTTTCAATCATTGTGCTTTTATCCATCATGTTCTGAACACTCAGTATGTATTTCTGAAAGTATTTTGTGGCATCCCTCTCCTGGTCTTCTGCACAGCTCTTCTCAAGATGCACTACTTTCATGATGTAAGCAGAATGAAAGCCAGACCTGTGTTTTTCAATGGTTATAGGAAAGAAGCAAAATGCACTAGTTTGTGTTTTCACCCTCCATCTGCATTCTTTGGTTGTTCATTGCTCTCTTGGACTGTGAGTGATTCAGGAAAGCACAGGGCACGGGAGGCCTTTAGACACAGCCAGCTACATCGCAGGTGCTTTCATAAATGAAAATTTAATTGAGATGTGTAGGCTGGGCTTAAGCTGCCTCTTTCATGACCACTTACTGTAGAAGTTAAAAACATTGAACAATGTTTTATGAGGTCTTTAGGACAAGTGCAGCACAACTTTGGGAACAGATAAGTTCTTGTTCAACATGGGTGTTTAAGTACTGCTTAGGCTATAACCCATATAGTGACCACCCAGTTCTTGTTGTGCTCATTATGATGAGTAAGAGCATGTTAATGAACTGAGAACTGTAGCTTAGAAACAGCCTTCCAACAGAAAAATGGGCAGTAAACCAGATGGGATGATACAATTATGAGAGATAAAGGGATACTGTTACTTGAGGCACACTAGATTTAATGACAGAACAGATAATTCCCAGTGCTTTTTCCTACATGGCATCTTTTATATTTATTGTTTAATCATCACAATTGCCTTTTGAGGTAATCAATGTTATCCTCATTTTATGGGTGTGTAAACAGGTACAGGGCATAGGGTAAAACCCCTGAATTTCCGTGTGGAATTTGCTGGGTTTGATTCCTGTGACTTGACAGGTGCCACGAGATAACTTCTAAAAACTGAATTAATTCTTTATCTTCAGGTGTTAAGAATATCATAGGTGAATGCAATGTGGAGGACAAATTTAGGCAGGAATAATTTTCAGTTAAGTGCTCAGAACGATCTTATTCTGTAACTCACTGTTGCTTAAGATAGCTTCTGTTGCCACAGAAAAAACAGTGCTATGCTGTGAAGTTGTTAATGTCTTAAATTAAACAGCAGTGGGTCTAGTTGCTATTTCAGTGGGAGTCTTTCAGGGAAACTCCAGGATCTGCAGGGACTGCCACCAGTAATACAGTAGAATGGTGCTTTTCCTTCCTGAGTCAATATTGACCCTGGTATTTCCAGGGTGGTGTTGCTGGACCACTGTATTGCTCAGGACACAAAATTTGCAAGCAAGACTCTCTCCTCTGCATCGTTTGAGAGTCCAGTGCCCAGACAACAACAAAATATAGATGCCCAAAGCTTTGAAATCACATACATAAATTGAAGTAATAAATCATCATACAGCATTTTTATATTGAGCTAAGTTTACATACAAACAGCTACAAGGAAGTTTTACATAGATTTAGAGTGAGGAAGTACTTGGGTGCACTGGAGGAAGAGTGAAAGTTAAAGCTAGGTGTGGCAGCATGCAAAACATCAAAAGAAATAGAGAAATATATGGAGTTGAAAAGGGCTAAATATCAAAGAAACCTAATTAAGGCAAAAATAGATTATCTAGGACCTAAGTCAAATAGAAATTGGACATGGGAACAAGAAGAGGAATCCAGTATTGCAAATCCATGTTCTAAAAGAGCTGTGAAACAGACCGAGTGCTTTTGATCTGCAGAGGAACGTAAAAACACAGCAAAGATAATGAAGCATAGAGATCATTATGTCCCATCTTCCTGGAAGCTCCTTGCATCATACAGTGCTTTCTAAAATTCTCTCTCAGAGAAAGCATGTTGCAATGGCTGGGTTGGAACTCTGCCATTAAGCAGAATCAACTGATGTTGGTTTCTCATTGGGAAATATGTGCCTATGCATTATAGATCACAGCAACTAGTTTGTTCTGTTCTCGTATGTCCCAAATCTGTTTCCTGTGGTATCCCATGAGATTTTATGATCCAAGGAGATATTTTTTGACTTACCACCATGACTGTCTCCATCACTGTTGAGATACTGGTAATAGTCATGAGGCTGTCGGTAGAGGTCTGACTCATAGGGTACCATATCTTCAGAGGGCTGTAAAAAGAAGAGGAATTTTTAGAACAGTAAGTTGACACAAATCCCTTCCAAATTATTCGTAGTTAGTGGCAGGGTGATGCCAACACGGAAAGAAGGGGGGGACTTCAAATCATTCTTGAATCAGCGGGAATAAAATGTGTGAGACTAAACATGGTTTTGAAAAAAAAAACAAAAGAGAAAAAGAGAAATCCCAGTAGAAAAGAGACCCAGTCTGTGTAGCAGAACTTGTCCTGTGGTAATAGTCAAGTGCTTTGGATTCCACGTTCCAGCCTTGTGAGAGTACTACTTAGAGCTGTTGTGGACATCAGGCACAAGTCAAGCTGACACCACACCAGCACGGACAGGAAATATTTTATTTGGTAGTAACAAATATCATAATCATCACTAATAATTATTATCATCAAATATTAATTATTGATTATTGATGATTCTTCTTCTTCTTCTTGTTTGCGTTTTTTTCTCCTGCACACCAAAGATAAAGTAGAAACTTGTCTTGCCTAAACAGATTATTCCAACATCTGAATGAATGGTGGCAGTTTGTAGGAGGGTAGTGACATTGACAAAGGGCATAAAAACATTTGCTTTCTCAGCTTCTGTCCAGGATGAATTGTGAATATTTGGCACTTCAAATCAGCTACACAGGACTGTTAGGCATGTGCAGAGAAGACTTCAGAAGTTCAAATGTGGGGCAAATACTGAATTGTGACTTACTAGATGGTTAGATGTAGAAATAAAGTCCTCTCTGTCTTCTTAGAACGGGTGGCACAGGGTAACTTCCCCACTTCTCTTTCTCACCAGGCCTACCATTCCAATGTGAACACTAATTAAGATCTTATGTTGTTGCAATAAATGTTGTCCATTCATTATTAGTTATGCACAATTCTGTTGCTTCATTTAATGCTCCTTCTTGCCTTTTTTCAGAGTGAAGAGCCAGAGCAAGACAGTGTGCTTCACAGGGTCTGGTTCAACTTTTGTCCAGTTAAGTTTGCTACAATATTTTCTTCCAATCTGAACAAATTCATATGGGTCAACAGCAAAAGTGAACTCAAACACTTTCTTGCTTTTTGTTTTGAAAGGAAATTACTTCTAGGAGGTATTAATAGACACATTTAACCTCTGTTAATGACTTCAGCATAACTAACTTTAAAGGACAAATATTTAAAACAATATGACAACTTACATGATGGACGTATTTTTTATGTTCCTGTGTCTGTATGTTCATATGCCTATCTGTATGTCCCAAATCCTCATCTGCCTCCATGAGTCTGTCTCATTTTTGGAACACCTGCATTTTGTGAGCTCATGGTGTGGTGGCACCATGACAAGAATGCAGGCAAGCTTCTCTGTGTCTTCCTCCTCTAGAATACTTGAGAACATGAAACCTACGGCAGCAGCTGCCATCAAAGTCCAGACAGAGGTGGTAGATAAGCAGCTAGCAAAAGGAAAAGAGTTTTTTTCTGCTTTCTTTAATGCTTTTGGTTAACTCCTTCAGTTCATTCTGTTGAAATTTGGGGGTTTCAAGATTGCCCTTTTCAGGGGATTAAGATGTTAGAACATTTCAAACAGAACAAACAAACAAAAATGAAAAAGCAAACAAACAAACCAGGAAAAAAGAGAAGAAGATGCTTCCAGAAATTACTTTGGACCTTGGTAGATCCTTAGTAGCAGACGAGTTATATTTGTGTATCACTAAAATTGTCTAAAATGTCATGACTTTGACAATACACACTGACTGAGCGTCAGATCCCTGGAATATCTATTGCCTGACTGTCAGCTCTCAGTACAATCTGTGGTGGTGGATAAACACTTTGGGGAAATCTTGAGAAGATGGCAATGCACAGTAAAATTTATGTAAGGAAAAGACTAAAGAAAAGGGACAAATCCTCATTTAATTGCACGCACGGCAGGAACACCCGCGAAGGGACTCTTCTTGCCTCTGGTCTCCAGAGGACACAGGTGCAGCCTGCTTTTCCAAATCTGTGTGATTCCAACAGAATTGCCTGTCCTCTACACAGAAATTTAATGGGAAGCATAACTTACTTTCCAGATTTCAGAGGGGTGGGCAAGGAAGACCATGCAACATGCATCTCTCTGATCCCTATGGTTTTCCTCTACATATTTTCTTGGTGTTCTCTCTATAGTTACATTTATTTACACAATCCCATTCCTTCGACCTTTGGTGTACTCTGATCTCTGGCAAGAAAAAGCAGAGACTGTATTTTGCTTTCTTCAGGATAAAGTTCTGAAAGGAATTTCTTGTTTTCATTATCTTTGCAAACACTCCTCCATTTCCCTTCCATAAATATATGGTTCCTGTTAAAACACACAAACTTGAAAAACTTATAAACCTATGCCTCCGTATTCAGAAGTGTTAATTTGTTATAACTCAAGGAAAGGATTCATATTCTGTGAACGGAGAGACTTCAACCTCCAAACTGAAAATGCACATCACACTAGTTTGGGCAAACAGAGGTTAAAACGGTAATATAAATGTATATAGCTTGAAAGAAAAATCTTTGTTTCTTTTCAACTCAAATATTAGAGACTGACTGAAAGTATTAAAAAATTCATCCCTAAATGCATCAAAGTTTGTTACTAATAACTATTTAGCCAAAATAAAAATTTTACAAGGAAATCAGTGTCCTGTCAACCTAATCAAGCAAAATCTTAATTTGCTAAAATTTCCACTGCTACAAAAAAAGCTTCTGTCACTCCTATCTTTACAGAAGTGCAGCTTGGCAGGAAGGCCAAGCATCAGCCCAAAAGTAGATAAACAATACTTATTTTAGGCATGGGAAAGAACATTTGGCTTTTCCTGTGTTTTTTCTTTGTTTTGTCTTCCCAAAGATTTTCCAAACTCCCCCATTTCAGACCAATGTACATTAACAAGCAATACTGTCTCATAGTCTGAGAGCTGAGAGTGAAGTATTTCACCTTTCAAGAGCTACTTTCACAAGTTCAGATGTGTATTCACTGACCAGAGCTACAGGAAGGTGTGTTAAGTAGACCCTTAAAACAGTGATTCCCTCAGTAGATCTGGCTGACTGCAGAGTGAGTTGCAGATACTCAGCATCTGAAAACCAGTCTGCTTTTACATAGTGCATTGAGGTATCCTGAACTGTGTTTGAAAGTCTGGGGCTTAAAATTGCTTTATTATGGATTCTTGGAATTTTTTATCTTTGGATTTGTTTTCTGCACACTAACCCGTTTGATAAAGTATGTATGTGCATATCCTTGTTATCTCATGAAACATGGGCCAATCTATCTCCACAAATGACTTACTATGGTACCACCTTCTGTCTTGGTGTCTGATCTTCCAGGGCAGAGTAACTAACATGGGAGGATGGATGCTAAATACGTGGAGTATTTAAATACTTAAAGTGTATTTCTCATAAGCTTAATCAGATGGTGGTTGAAGGAGATAGTACTGCATGTATTCTCTCTGATTATTGTATCCTATGGGAAGGTGGAATATTTTCCTCTATTCATTAGAGAAGCAATTTTTAAGTGCTCACTGGTTTTGGGGTGATTTTCTTGGGTTTTTTTTAAGTTTCATTAAAACCTTTTTCTCTAGTTAGAGAGAAAAGGCTTCTTCACCATATGCTGCTGTTTCCTCTTGTACCAGTCTTTATCCACTTGCCCCATCAGGCTCTGGAACCTCCCCACCCACACATTCATTTCATCATCTTACCGACAGCACTTTCATGACACAACTGCTTTGTTTCCCCTGACAAAAAGCAAAGAATGGCTTATATTACAATTTAATACTTAACTGATGTCAATGGCCATTTGTTCTATAAGTTGTTTTCATGTAAAAGAGTGACAGAAAGCTTTGTTAGGAACTCCTAGTTGTGGCCTAAAGTTGGTATCGCCTTTCGTACCTGCCGTGAGGTGCAGTATACTATCTACAACCATATTCCACCCTCGAGTAAGAGGTCAGCAAACAACACTTTCTCTGTCATGGACTTTGATAAATGAAAAGTGGCCTTTTTTTTCCAGGCCTTTTCCCTGAAACTCAAGGGAAAAGCCACAAAACTACTCAGAGAAAGCTCGGTTGGCATTGATTGAGAGTGGACTCAACCTAATAACAGCCTGAAAATTGCTGTTATTCACAAAGACCGTCAGTCAGTTCCAGGCAATTGTAAATTCACTAAATGCTTTTCTTTTTTTTGTTACCTTGATATAACTATTCGCTGGCATGTGATTCAGAAATACTCCACACAATTTCCAATGATGTGCTGCTGGGACAAGTTTTAAGGCCAAGATTAACTGTATTTCCTTGGAAAAAAAATTGCAGTATAACTATTTTAGAAAAGATGAGTATTAGCATGATTACTCATTGGACCAGCCTCACTGGCCTGTGTAGGCAATGCAGTTATGTGGAACAGAGCACTTCTGTGGGGCATTTTTGCTGTCATGAAAAAAATACTTCCATACAAAGCTGTGATTTCTACAGGTATCTGCCTGGGGATTCACATTTAACTGACACCCTCTTTAGACAAAGATGTTTGACAATAGTTTTTCGACCCATAGCATAACTAAATTCCAGTGTGCACTGAAAGACAGGGACCCAGTTTGCAGAACTTTTCCCATACAAAATTCCTAATCTTTGGAGGAAGATACAGTACTTTAAACCATTTAAACAGTGTTTTCCAAGCGAAGGGTACTAGTTTCCAAGGGTAGCCAGGAGGAAGGTGGTTACTGACCCACCCTCAACTGAACAGGGAGGGGTGGAGGAGCAAAGTGTTGCTGCACAGAAACCTCTGCCGAGCAACAGGCATATGTCTCCTCTGAAAAAGTCCCAGGAGACACAGACATGCAGGGCTCTAGCTGGCAGTTCTAAAAGCACATTTAAAATTATTTTGAGAGTACAAACCACAAAATTAGTAGTTTTTGAACACTTTAATCACAAAAAAATAAAAAGCAAATTGCCCTGTCAAGTGCTCCTGTAAGATGTGATTGTATTTTCACCGTGTTGCATCTGAGACAGAGTTCAGGCAGAATATTAACTGCAACACAAATTAGAATATGGACAAAATGGTTAGATTTTCACTCCACTTATTCAATATATGTCCTGGAATTCAATACTGAAAAAAGAGGACAGAAAGCTTGGCTGTGAGTGATTAGCAGGACAGGAAATTAGCAAATTTTGTTTCACAGAGATGCTGACTTCTGGGGTAGTTGAGAACAAGGTTTGTGTTTCTTTTTAGTACTTTTCCTTTTTAAGCCCAAGAAGTAGCATATTAAGAAATCCCTGTGTACTTTTGTCATTTTTCCAGTTTCTTTCCAGATCTCTGTTCTGATGCACTTACAGCAGGTCCATTGGGCAACTCAGTGTATTTAAGAAAAACAGAACGGTTTTTAGGGTCTTCTCGCACTTTGGGTAGGTAAGGGATTTCAGGGGCACTGAAGATAAACTGAGAGAATAAAGGGTCTCTTCCAAAGAGAAGACAGATAATTTCAGTCAGCATGAATACTGAACATGAATTCAGAGGGACATCTTTCTGCTTAGAAGATAAGGAAACACATCTTTATCCTTCATTAAATAGGACAAGGCGAAAAGAAACTTGGTACAAGTTTTTGTTAAGAAAACCTCTTGGATCTGGGTTGTCTATTTCTGTTCTCTGGCACATCAATAGAAATTAGTGTAAGTCATCCACCACATAAAAGCCAAGCAAACCACCTTATCTGACTCCTCTTCAACTCCTATAAATATAATGAGATCTAATTAGGGCCTGTTCTACTCATTCTGCTTAGAGATTTTGCATTTGTTTGTTAATGACATTACATTTCACACCCATAATAATTTTTGGATTCACCATACAATAAATTACAGCAGTGCAACGAAGTTTCAGAGTTAAGGAAAGGATAGAACAGCCTCCTAAGCACACAGAAAAATTTATGTCTTGGAGAAGACATTGAAACGCCAAAAAAAGGGCTGTGGGGTTTTTCCCCTCGTTCACCAATTGCTTTCTTATGGCAAGTGAATTCAAGAAAATTCAGTTAAAGAGAAGATGAAGTCAGAGACCAAAATGCTATCATTGCAAAGAGCACAGCATCCCAAAATCCGCAGTACATAAAATCAGCATTCAACAACTCTTCTCTCACAGACTGATAGACAGTTAAATACAAAAACTGTGTCAGAGACTCTAGATGCATAAGAACTGCAATCTGAAGAGAGACTAGGCGACAAGGAGGAACAGAGGTTTGCTGACTTGCTGTACACATACTGTACAAAAATACCATACACTTAATCTATGAAAACAAATGGAAATCAAAATCAGATACAAGTTTGGGGAGGAAATGTTAATTTCCCTTTCATTGCAGTGTTGTCACTAGTTTTGTACATTGGCCTCAGCCAAACTTCCTGGCATTACAAATACAGACCATTCAGAGGCATCCTCAAATAAGGAAACCTCGTTTACTTTGCCTTTTGCTACTGAGCCCAGAGATACATATTAGAAACAAACCCCATATACTCACAGGGGGAATAAGGGGAAATCCTTCCATTTTGCAAGCTTGCAACATTCAGCCAACTTCTGAGTGAATCTTTCTTAATTCAGTTTTCAAACATCCAGAATAACTGACTTTAAAAAATCACATTTAAAAAAAAAAAAAAAAAAAAAAGAAAAGAAGAGAAAAGTGAGATCCGCGGACTCTGTGAAGTCCCTTTGCAGTGATGGATCTCAGGATAACAAAAGGACCCTAACAAGTTTTCATAGTTTGCCCTAATAGTTCTGAGGTGAACTTCTTCCCGAGTTGTGTGTGAAGTTCCTGATTTTATCAAATGTCTGTAGAAGGGAGATAGCCCTTGAGTGTATCAGTGCGCTGTGACATCACAGCTTTTCGCCAGTTTGCATAAATCTCGTTTCAGGGAGCTGTGGCGCTGTAACAGGAAGCCTGCCCTGGCCAGATCTGCCACAGGCAGGTGCTTGCTGTGCAATCAGCAGCCAGTGCCTGGGCCTGCTGCCCATAAACAAGCACACGGGTTCTGCTCTCTCTGCAAGACCATGTGCTTACCACTGGAGATGAACCATAATGATGGTGCTGCTCTTGGGTTTAATGGCATGTCTTACAGGGACAGTCCTGACAACTTGTGTGATGCCAGTGCAAGTGGCATAGACTTGCTTTGAAAGTAGTCCTGTGTTGAAATTACGTGGCAATACTTAGCAGAAAGGAAAAAAAAAGGGTATGCAGTTTCAAATATACGGTCTTAGGTTCACACAGAACACTGGTTATGCCCCTGAGACTTTCGTCATAAACTTTGCAATGGAGAAAATGATTCAGTGAAAGATATTTTGTCCTCTTATTTGTTTGCTGTGAATTCACTTCATTTATAACTCCTTATAGGAGAGGGTGGGGAAAAGGAGAAAGTATCACATGTCCCATGCAATAACTTGACTTCTGTCAGGTCCTGAGGGCCTTTAACAGTGAGTAGAGGAAAAGATTTATAGACTTCTGTCTAAAAAGGCAGGTGCAGAAATTTCTTGTAGAGATTTTGTGTTAGCTCTTCTCACACGATGTTCTCCCCTCTCTCTGTCCCGCTGTTCTACTGATAAATGCCTTTCGTATGGAGGCTCTGGTGGTGGCAGGGGTAAGTGAGCCACGGGGCAGGATGTAGGGGATGGGGCCTGGCTACAGGACGAGAACCCTCTCATTCTGCAAAGTGCCTTCTAGCTTCGCACTTAGTTATTAATGCCTTGGAAAAGTGAAGTTTCTTGGTCTGGGTTGTTCCACTTCAATCTGTGCCCATGTGCCACAGGTTCTGCTTTTGGACACAGCCAGTTCACCACTCACCTGGGTCTATGTGTGAGGGGGAATTTCAGCCACTACAGACTTCCTCCCTTGTACACTGGTAAAACCAGAGGCCACTTGCAAGTTCCTCTCATTCCCCACCCTCAGGAACTCAACAAGAAAACCATATTAGCAATGGCATAGCATCAAGAATGTGATAGGAGATTAACTCTTGAAGCCCCAAACTGAATTTCTCCAGCATCAGTTGATACATAAGCATTTTATTCATACGATGAAATCTTGACAGTAACCTAGTAATAAGCAAACTGCGTAAAAGTCTACTTTGCTCTCTGAGATGGTTCTCAAGTCTCCTCCTGGAGATCAGCCTGGAAGTGATCAGAACTGCCTGGGGGAAAAGGCGAGAAGGAAAGTACTGTCCCAGTAATAAAATTCAGTGCAAACAGAAGAGACACAATAGCACACACAAATCTTACAGTGGGTAATTGATTAATAGGTGATAAAAGCAATTGTGGAGACTGTGTGTCTATTAAAAAGGCTATTCAGAACACAGATATGCTATCTGATTCATCACACACTGAAAGATAGCTTAAGCAGCTTCTGCAAGGTTTAAAAACAATGTTTTACACAGAAAAGCTTCTGTTAAAGAGGAATGCAACTGTATTTCATAGGCTGCAGGATATTTCTGCACTCCTCTTAGCACAGGAAATTGCATAATAAGGCTAGAAATTTTGCACCAGCTTTATGGCACTCAGGGAATGCCAGATGGCCAACATTATCCACCAGGTCTAACTTGCGGTAATCGTATGTGCACCAAGGCTATCAATATAAATAATGAAACTGGTTCTCTGTATGGTGAATTAGAACCAAATAATATGCCATCACATTTCAGGACCAGCAGAAAGACCAGCAATTCAATAAGCTTCCTAGGAAGGAGAGTATCTCCATGAAAGAAAATGCTGAAAGAAAGAAATTGTTTGGTTGCTCTATCATATTTGTGTAGGAACATCACTAATAACAATTGTGCTAAATTTCAGCATAAAGTAGTTTCTCACTATTGCGTATGACTGGTGTTTTATCTGTGTTTGCAATCACATAATCTTCTCACCCTTAACACAAGGCCTACTGGAGATGATACTTTGGTGCCAGATTCTTGCAGGTGCCTTGATAGGTGACTTACATGCAGAAAACAGATAAAGTTACAAAACAAATTGTGTAGTCAAGAACTGATTTCCAGAGGCATATAAAGAGCTATTCACAGAGTGTAACCTGACCTTCAAAAAGGCTTTTGAAGTAGGGTGGGGATCCTTCTCCATGACAGAAATTTGGAGAACTAGAGAAAAACCTGCTGAGTTCAAGGATGAAGTTTCCAAAATAGTATATTTCTGAAAACCTTTAACATTCATATTAATCTTTTTCCTCTACGCATCTCCTCCCTGTGTGCAGTTTTCTTTAACATTTCTTCCCCTACCTCTACCCTTTTATTCTTCAAGCTATTTCTAACCACAAGCTACAAAAGCAAAAGGGTTTCTACTAGCAGCCACATCACAGACGTCCCGTTACCTCAAACCTTGTTTGGTGCTTGGAAGGTAATTTTTCTCCCTACTAAAACCACAGACAATATCACTCATTCTGAAGTCTTTTAATAAGAAACAGGTGTTTGCATAGAGTCTGCTACTTAGTTTTCTTGTAACAGTAAGAAAAAACATCTAAGCAAGGGATTCCCTTGTATGTTCCACATTCTTTCCAGAGCTATGTTTTCCATTGAACTTGTTTTTATCTAGACATAATATTGCTTGTGGGTGTTGTATACCATCCTTTAACACTGACTATCCATTCAGATGACATGGGTCTCTGACTATGGACCTGCAGGGTCTGGAGCTCTAGAGGATAGTCCTCCATATATGACTGTTACATATGCTGCTGTTGAGGAGAAGGTACGAGTTGAAATCCCTTTGCTGTGTATGCCAATAACGAGAGAGCAGGAGCCAGAAAATGGCTTCTTCAAATTACTGGCGAAGAAGAAGTTGTCCCCACTTTTTCTGATGTGGAGCTAGACCTTGGGATTCTTAAGAGTCTGAATGTAGACTCCACTGAAATCCTCACATTTCCACTGCAGGAGAGTACCACTCACTGATGTTCCCTTGTGCTACTTGTAGGTTTATTGCCATGGGTGAATTTGAACAAAGACTTTTCCTCACTATGTGGGTTGATGCAGCTCCTAGTGGCAAAAAAGTTCTTTTGACAGTATAGCTTTCATGAGTTCCTGAGTTATATGTAGCAGCACCTGCACAAGGACTTTTACCAGTGGGAAATGTCATAAAAATAACATTAAAATATCAGTCTTAACTAATTTCACTATATTGGCAATTATTTTCAAGCCTAGACTAGAAGAAATCCTATCAGACTGAAGAAAAGCATTTTCACTTGAAGGAGGAGGAATAATTTGAATTAGTATTAATCCAGAAAGCTTCATGGATGTTTTGAGAGCCATTATGATATGCAATCACTTACAGAAGTGAAAGGCACTTTGTTTTTCATTTTATTAGTAACTTGTAAACTCTCCATAAAACAGTACTCAGCAAGGAAGAAAGTCTCCTTTTGGCAATTTATATATCTTCAAGATCTGTTTATACCTCAGCTACCTTTCAGTTTTTACTGTATTTTGAAAAACATGTTTTGGCTTTAAGGCATTTTCAAATAACTGTAAGATTTGCTATCAGTTTTTAATGATCTGCATTCTGCAGGCAACAGATTTTCAGTTTACACATTCCTGATCATTTACAGTCATCCAATTTCTCAAAACTTTTGTATCATTTCAAGCAACTAGCATGGAAGTGTGTTCTAATGCCATCTACTCTTGAAGTTACATCGAGTGTACGTACTACCTACAGTCAGTGTCACCATTAAGGTGCAAGCAGTGTTGTGTAGCATCCTTTCACAGAGAACCTACAGTCCACCAGAGGTGTGTCTCTCCCCTACAGGTACTTTAATAGTAAAAATTAAACTATAAGGTTAAGGTGCATCTGTGATATGGATCAATAAGGGCATATCTGTAGAGAAAAAACTTGTTACTGATGGACGTTCAACAGCAATCCTGTATTTCTTTTGAGGGGGTGTCACTTCAGACTGGTTCTAGTCTGATGCTATGGACTGAATTTCTGTTTGCAGCTGGAGACCTGAGCCACATCTTCAATTTCATCAGAAAGGAATCCAGCTTGAGCATTCTAATACTGCTATGTGGTGGGGAGGATCAGGAGACTAATTTCAGAAGCAGTCTTATGATATGAACTAGACTGCTGATCCACCATTGGAGAGGATTCTTTTCCCAAGTCCATAGTGACCTCTGCCAAGCTGTGTCAAAAATATCTTTGCCGTATGGAGTTAGATTTGGATATTTAGGCAGCAGTTCTTTTCTTGAGAGTTCAGTTGCATCCAGGAAGAAGTCTTGCTCTCCTAGTGTAAATAATACTTTCCAGACTTGCATCTTATTAGGATTAGATCTCTTAGAAATCTCTCAGAATTCTAAAGAGAAGTTATTAACAAATAAACCTGTCTCTAGGTAGCCTGTGGGTTTGTACCTGTGCTTCTTGTTCTCTGCCACCACTTTCACAGTGATTTTGTGCCTGGAGTGTTACCTGAACAGAGGAACTAAAGTACTAGAAGCCAATGCTTTTTCTCCATGTTCACCACAGGCATTTGGCTGCATAAGAAGTGGAGCATGTACAAAAGCCTCACATCACAGCTTTCTGTGTGTGACCAAGACAGGGGTGTATGACACACTCAGTGGTATATTATCTGTAGAAACTTTTTCTTACAGAAGTAATTACCGGTAAGAAAAGTTGTGTTTGAATTAAATCAATTTCACTCTTTTATAACCTCAGACCTTCTTTACTAGATAAATCACATGCAGTTAGATTATTCAGTCTTCATTTCTGCTTTCTCACCTGTGTTTGTTCTCAGGTGCCTTGAAATCTGCAGGTTTGGTAAAAAGCTGAAATCTGTCACTAATCTGGTAGAAAAAAATTAACAGCCTAGAGATAAGTAGCTCCATCTTAACTGTAC